AAAACAAACAAATCCGAAACGGACAGTAAATCAAAGTACAAATCAACGCATTGAATTGTGTGTGTGTGCTCAACATGAAATTAACATTTTGTTTAGTTTAGTTAACGCTTGCGCGAATTTGAAACAAGTACGCGATATAAAACAAGAGACGGGACGGTGCTCAACTAGCAAATACCCTGTAGCTAGCGCTGCAAGAGAGTCTAGTCTAGCCTTGGAGCCTAGACATTTAATATTTAAAAGAAAAGCAATTGATAAAATAAATAAAACTTAATCCGGCCTCAAAACAGAACTGTCCAGAGATTTCTGGAATAAAGTGCCCATAATTTGCCTTGTCTTAGGTCATTTTATTTTATACCCAGTACATGCCCACTTGCTGCTCATAGGGTATGCCATTTACTAAAGATACAAATGTTGCTCAAAGTATGCGGTTCATCGACTATTGTTAGCATCTATTGTCGCACTTATGTGGGTTTAACAATAGTCAATTGAAGTATTTACAATAAGTTAACTTGCATAAAGCAGAGATTTTTTCTACTATTGTTGAGTTGAGGCCACGCTCGCTTTTTGTATACAAATTTTTAAGATAGGGGCGTTATTCAAATGGCACAAAAATAATCGAACGCTCACACAATTTGTTATGCTTATTAAAGCTGCGGCACAGTGTGACCAGATCATGGATTTTATTCATTCATAAATTTTGAAGTGAACGTCAGTTGCATTTGTTTTGTTTTGTTTTTTTTCTTTCGATTTTCATCCATTGATTTCCGTTGACACGTTACGCATAATTAAACGTCGGCTTGCCATGCAACACGCTGTCTGGGGGCAAGCCCCAAAAAAGCACACAAAAAAAAAAATAACAAATAAATAAAAAAGAAGCCAATTGACCCACATAGTGAACGACGTTGGCGCAGGCGACAGACAACAAAAAACATTGCAACTGCAATTACCGAGCTACCCACAGAGGTGTGAAAAGATGTTTGGCAACCAGCTGACGTCTCTCTGTCTCTTTCGGCAAAAACTCACAGCTGCTTGCAAAAGAATCTGTTTGGACAATAACTACTTATATAGGGAAACACAAACACAAGCTATATAGGGAGCCCAATACTAATTGTGCTTTTGAACTTAACTCGTAATCAAATTTCTACTTTTGGTTGGGTTTGCATAATTACGAGTACCAAGCTTTGTTTTTATACCCTGAACACATTGAAAATGGTTGAAGAGGGTATTATGGTTTTGTGGAAGTGTGTCTAACAGGCAGAAGAAGGCTTTCTGACTCTATTAAGTTTATATATTCTTAAGGCTTCAGGAGCCACAGACTTGAGATTTTGAAAGTAAATGCGCCAAGTCAATGCCTTAAAATCTTAATGAGCTATTGTCTTGGGTTTTGGTATTTAAACACATTAGCTGATCATATTAATGGCCTGAAAATTTCATAAAGATCGCACAATAGGCACCCGAGTTATTTTAGAAAGCATTTCTTATAGAGGGAGCCTAAGGACAGAAGCAGCAGAGCGTGCGCGCTTCTGCTTGTCTGTTAATAGCAAGAAGCTAGACTGTTTTAATGCCATCACGACACTTTGTTCAGGGTGTCTCCTAGTCTGGCACTCCCAACTGGATCACTCTTGATTTTTCGAGTGGGCGCTCAGGGGTTTGGAGCTGGGCTCAGATTTGGCTGTGTGCGTGCATGTAATGCGTCATCATTATGTTGATTCAGTTTGTAGATTATTTATTTATTTATTTTTTGTTTTTTTCATAAGCGCCGGCAACCTTTTAATAGCTGTTTGTGGCTTACCTCTGCCATTGTTTGTTTGAAAATAGTCAAACAAAAGCTAGATTCAACTAGCGCAGACAAAGCTAACTACGCCCGCTTCTATATACCTGTATACCTGCTGTATACCTATTAATTATACCTCGGAAGGTAACTGCGAGCCATGGATAAACGCCTAGTTTTTAACATTTGTTCATATTTAACATATGTATCATCCTTATGCCCTGCAAGATCGGACTGTAAGCACCGATGTTAATGAAGAATGAGTTTTTAATAGTTTTGGAGAAACTGAAGCTCGGCTTCAGTTTTCTATTTTCCATGTATTTATTTAAATTGGAATATATGTACTTTAGATTGGTTCGTCGCGAGCAGCAGGGAATTCATGGTCGAACCAGAACGCTCTGTTCTTCTTCTTGCTTGTAATAAATATTTCATTTATGGTGGTCTCTCTGTTTACATCTTGTCCATATTGTACTTGATTAATATATCCATTCTTCACACATTATTGATTAGCTCACGTCAAGGCTTTACAGCTTGGAGTCCATAAATTTTACTTAGGTTAAACACAACTTGAGATGCGGCCTTCGAATTCGTTGGTAAATTGTTTTGAAAGATCTCTTTTAAAATTAACTTGGTGTAAAGTATTTGTTTTTGAAATGTAACAGATGTTTTGCTCGCGCCCATCTGCCCAGCCCTCGTTATCGGCTGGCTGACTAGCCGGGCCTGGCCTGGCACTGGGGGCGTAGTAATCCAAGCGCGTAGTCTTCCTCCCACTGCTCTTCACTCTGCGCCAGCTCTTTTGGGGCCGGTCTGCTCTGTGGTGATGTAATTACTGGCTGACAACTTTAACAACCGGTTTAAGCATTGTCCAACCGCCTGTTAAACACAATATATAAACGTTGTACTATTTGAAAGGCTACAAATCTTGTTTGTGTTCTGCGCATTTGCATGGACAACAGCACGGAATGAGATTTTTCAATACCCTGTAACTTTTGTGTTTATTGTGCAATCATTATAATATGGAAAGTATATTTTCTTTATATGCCAAAAATCTTGGTTTTATCTTCAATTTCCTGACGCTATATTCCATGCTTTTATCTTTTCAAAGTTAAGTAATGGGGAGAAATATAAAGGAGAGTTCTGAAGATGAAAGCTCGCCAAAACTTCCCATTTCTCCATTTAAAGGGTATCCAAAAAAAAAAAAATGCCACAGCGTGCAGTTAGTCGCACTTTCCATTTCCACTCAGTTATTTTATTGTCAAAGTATCACAAAGAATCAAGATCTTCACTTAAGAGCTTTGCAAATTGCAGTCGTATCAACGGCATTGCACTCGCCTTTCCATGTGGATGCAGTCCATCAACCTCATTTCATACTCACATGAATTATGTGATTCCAAAGCAATTTGATGGGTTTAACGTACTGTGCGGGATTACTTAGCAGCTGCATTAAGCGCACTCCCAACTCCCTTACTGCAGACGCAGTTCCTCACAATTCCACGGGCTCGTTTTGTAGGCTAATGCTTATCGCGTCGACAACAACTATTTTACACTTTGCCAATGATTAAAGCGATAACATTGACAATTACGTTGACAGTCATTTAAATTTATGTCTAGGGCAGCAGCCATTGTATATACATATTTTATTATAATTGCTGCTCATCGCTGTGATACTCTTCCTGAGGGTATTAATGCATGGCTGAAGTCTTCATCTCTCTACATGAGAAACTGTTTTTCTTAATTGACTGAAACTTGGCAGTTGCTATCTTCAATTTCACTGTGATTATATATTTTGGCAAGCAACAACTCAATTGTACTATTTCACCCGAAGCCGCGGAAAAATAGTGGAAAACGTTTGTAAGAAACTTTATTTACTAACTATCCGAACGGCTATAGGTTCTTTATGAGCGAGAATTAAGAATGCCTTTAGATTGGTTTAGATTAGATTGAAAAATAGTGTTGGAATTTTCCTGATGCCTAGGGTAAGGTTGTAAAATGAATGGAAAAGTCATGTCTTAAATGAAAGTTAGCTCGGGCAATTTTTCACTTTGACATTACGTCCAGGTATACATAAAAGACAGACAGACATTGTTATAGATCAGATATTAATATAGGGTATTTAATCTTCTGTACCTTCTATTTGTTATATATCAATATATCATATATCTTATTTGTATATATAGATATATCCTAAATATTTAGAGAGGTATTCAATTTTCCTTTCCTATTGATTAATATATCATTTATATATTTATATAGATACTATTGATTCAATCTATTTGTAATTGATCAATAAATCATATATTTGTAGATTAAATATATGGAAGGGTATTCAATCTTCATTGATTCGGTTTATGGTGATATTTTATTTCAGTTCAACGGTGCGAATTAATGCTGCGGCTGCTGTGGCCTATCGCCTATTGACACTTGTTTATTTTTGACACCCCGTTAGCATTGTTTATAGTTATGTTTACATGTATGTCTATATGTATATACAAACAGACTTACACATGTATAACATTGTTAAATGTTTCAATCGATGAGCACACTTCGTATTTGCTTGCTATTTATGTGTGAGCGCTGAGAACTAGAACAATTTTCAATTGATAGCGCTGATTTGCATTGAACTGTTATATTGCTGTGAATAGGGGTATTTCCAATGATATATAAACTTTAATATCAGCATATATAAAGGAGTTTGTCCCGTTTCAATGACTTTTAGCCCAGCAGCCTGCATGCAGCTCTAAGAGTTTGCATGGTTTAGGTGACTCAGCGTCGGACGAACAAGCGGGAAGTTGCCGGTTCAAATTCAGTAACAATTTTCAATTATTGTTGAGTTTAATGAAAACTTGAACATTTGGGCTATTTTATAACCGGACACTATTTAATTGAATTGAGAACTGACGGATCATTTCCCCTTATTTAGAAAAGAAGTGTATTAAAAATACATCAATGCAAATACATTTCGATGTTTTTCAGCTAATAACTAATAACTAATTTGGCTAGTTTATGTATTTTATCCAGTTGCTGCGGTTGCATTTGGCATTATTGACAGATTATTTAACCGCGATACAAGGTGCAGCACGGCAGCTGCCTGCTCAGACTCTTATTGATAAAAACTTGTCACATTAGGCCAGGTTTTTTGTTTTTTCTATTATACATTTTGCAACACAGGAAACTACAGCAATTAGTGTTGGCCAGCAGCATTATTAATTTGATTTTCCTTTCTTTACAGACTCCAATTAAACGAAAGGAATAAAAAGTGTTCATAAATAGACTTTAGTTTAACAATTAAACTGCCAAAATGGGCTATAAAAGCGGTCAGAGTCCGCGCATCAACAAGACGTTGATAACCCTGAAGCTGGTGGTGTTCTTCATCATTAGCGGTAAGTCAGGATTAAACAAAACTCAAGTGGCTTTTATTTAATGAAGCTTCCACTAATGTCCTGCAGGTCTCACCGCGCTGCACATTCTGCATGCCACGAAGCCGCTGCTTTTGGGCCTCAACTTCTCGGAGTATCGGACAATTTCAATTGTTGCGCCGTTTGTGTCCATATTGGGCCCTCTCGTGGCTGGTCCTTGGGCTGATCGTTTGGCTGCCAAAAATCCGAATGGATTTGGACGCACGCTGCGTAGGCTAACTGCCGTCTTTTTGCTGCTGGCAGCTTTGATCTATGCTTTTCTTTTTGCCGTACCGGAGGTGGCCCGCGAGCCGGAACAAAAGCCGGATGTGAGTTTTGGCTGCGATGGCAATGGTGCCTTTATATTCCAGAAGCTGTGCAACAATGGCACCTGCCACGACTGGGAGCACAAAACGGGCAGCGTCAAGCTGACACACTGCACGTACAGCTGCCTGAATCCCAACAACCACGAGAACATGTATCAGTTCTGGCTGGGCGAGGTACCCACCGCAGCGCCATCTACGGAGCAGAGCTCCGAATTCGACTACGGAGAGGATCTAGAGAGTGCGACCACCGAAAAATACCGACCCAAGCGACAATTGAACCTGGCGGACTTGCCCGCAGACAGCGCCGGCCTGGAGCTGATCAGTTCCGAGGTGGCGGGACGTGCCAAGCGCCAGGTGAAGTCTGGACCAAAGAAGGTCTATGTGGAGCCGCCGCATCTGTGCCTAACGGAGCGCAACGAGAAGGGCGAGAATATTGTGAAGAACTGCCATGTCTATACCCAGGACACGCCCAACATTGTGGTGCACGCAGACATGGGTGCTGCGATGACGGATACAAAAACCAATGAGACTGAGGGCTGGTGCCAGTATCCCCTGGGTAAGTTCCACGAGAAGAAAGTACTTTCAGTACTAATATGTATAAATCTGTTTCTATTCCCAGATTCTATTAGTATCCCTTTTTCTACACTTGCTAGTATTCTAATTTATATTCCTCTTCCATACATCTATTTTCATTTATTTTCCAATTTTTCTTTTCTTTTCTTTCGAATAATAATACCTTTTAAATTTATATTTCTTTTTTTTTTATAATACCTATTGGTCTTATTGTCTTACCTATGGTATTCAGTGCAGAATACCCTTCTTTCCCTGCTTCTATTATAATTTTCCTATATCTATACCGATTCCTCTTGAAATTTTTCTTTCTCTTCATGTTCTTCCTTTAATATCTCCACCTTTCCTACTCTGAAGTTGTTTTTCATTTTATAGAATCCCAGTTAGTTATAATGTATTGCATAAACTTATTGATCTTGTCTTCTTGCAGAGGGCATTCAGTGCAACATACCCGCTCAGCAAGTGAAATATATGAAGGATCTGATGAATGGCTCCGAATGCAAGCCCGTTATCGAGTGCATGATTGTGGATGCGTACGATGGCAAAGATAGTGTGCTCGCTGACAGCGAATGTGTCACGGTGAGTTCTCTCCATGAATCGAAAACGGCCCGTCCTAAGCTAATATTTCTTCTTCCATAGACGACTGGCAATGTGGAGGATACTTTGATTGGATATACGATCATTCGTCTGCTGGGCGACATATTTGCCATGGCCAGTCTGACGCTGCTCAACACGGCGATTGTGATTGCGGTGCGCGAGACCTCGGAGGGCCGGGGCGAGGTGTGCCGGCAGTATGTGTGGGGCGCCATTGGCTATGTGATACTCTTCTCGCCGCTGGATCTGCTCTTCATGCAGCAACAGCCCAATAACGATGCCGCTCTGGCTGCCCTGATTATATTTATCGTATGCTTTGTCCTCGGCGCTGTCGTGCTGCTCTTAGCCTCGCAAATGCCGCTCAGTCCGCCCGAATGGTGGTGGCACACCAAGACGGGCATGCTGGTGGTGCCCATGTCCGCCATCCGGCGGTATAGTCCGGAAATTGTGGTGCTCACACTGGTGGCCATATTGTTTGGCACCTTCTGGAGCAGCATTCACAGTTTTCTGTATTGGACCTTTACGGATGTCAATGCCATTTGCTATTCGGGCATTATTCTGATCCTGGTGCTGTTCTTCAATGTCGATAAATTTATTGAATACTGCGGACACTCGAACATATTCATTGCCGGCTTTGCCATCTTTGTCATTCGTTTCACGGCGCTCAGTGATGCGCAGACCAATTGGCTGACCATCGTCATGGAGACCATTGAGCCGGCTGTCATTGGTCTGATCTGGATTACGATTATTCTATATATGCGACATGCTATGCCACGTAAATTAACTGCCACCGGACAGGCCATCGCTGTTTTGGCCTTCTTTGGCTTAGGTAGGTTTTAAACATTCAAAATATTCACACTCAAAGAGTATTATGAATATAAGTGTGATGAGTATGAATTGTGTAGTCTTAGAATAGGTATTACGAGTTTGAGTAGTATGAGTATGAAAAAAATGGTTATTATACGCATATATCATTGAGTGAATGATGAGTATTGAGTACTATTAATTTTATATGGAGTATGAGCACTATGAGAATTGAGTTCAAAAAGTACTGTGAGTATTTAGTACTTTGAGTAGTGAGTACTTTGAGTAGGAAGTACTTTGAGTAGTGATTACTTTGAGTACTGAATGCTTTCAGTTGTGAGTAGTTGAAGTAGATCATAATTTGAGTAATGAGTTATTCGAGTACTAAGTATTTCAAGTATTGAGTCTGAGTATGACTATGGGATGTATGAGTTGTTTGATAAGTGTGCGTTTGATAAAAAAAGAAGCATAATAATCATTGAAACAAATTATTCTTGTTCTTTTAGGAAAGGGCTTTGGCGCCTTGATTGGCCTGGCTCGTGATGAAAAACATCCGAAACTGGCGGACTGGTCGTGCTGCTTCCAATGGCTCGCCATAGTTGCCTGCATCATAGCGCTGGTCTACTTTGTGATTTACAATCTGATTTTGGCGCCACGTTGCACTGCCAAGCCGCAGCATGCGGAGGAGCTGATCTCAGGTTCAGCGTCGCAGAACTTTGGCACAAATGGAACCACCAATGGCAATGGGGCTGGCAATGGTGCTGGCATTGGTCCTGGTGCTGGGGCCTCGCTGAATGGCAATGCCAATGGCAGCTATTCCCCGCTGCGGGTATACCACAACGAGCGGGGGAAGAAGGGCCAGTTTAGATACTAAATAATTTACTAGCTACGCTCGATTCTCTTTGCCTTGCATGGAAAATACAAGTTTTTAGATATTTTGATTGTGTATTTTGCGCACACATTTTACTCCACTTCATGGGGATATTTTTGCTAAGTGTATACACTGAGAACGACAACAAAAACTGAGAATCTTTTAATATTTAGAACTTCTTTTATTTGTTATTTAATGCAAACTAAGCGTGTTCGTAATATTAATTTAATGTCTAAACAATTATTTAGAAGGGAAGCTGCCACTTCCCCTTACCCCGCCCTTCACGACGATCTATTTTTGATGAGGTTTCATATTGAAGGCAACACAATTAAATAAAAACCTTTGCGTGATTTTACTAAGCATAATACGAATTGCATATACCACATACATGAATGTAAACAATAAAACAGATATGTAATTATACCAAAATAAAATTAATGATAATTTTATGTTTTGCAATTAAGTGAAATAATTAACGGAATTGCATTTTGATTGTGGCTTAAGTACGGTATCTTCCGCTACTGAGAAAATATGGGGTCTTATCTGAGATGTCACAAGGTGAGAAAAGAAAATAATAATACGGCACGAAAACAATTTTAAGACAGGTATATATAAGTTTTGGGTAGTTATACAGATCTATTTAACTGTTTAGAGTGGAATCATTTAAAGTACTCAGAAAGTACTCTCTTTTTAAAACAAATGAATATGGATACACTCATTATTTACGGCGAGCTTTTAAAAGCACCAAAAAGCTCAATCGACAAAGCTTTCTGAGAGCTTTCACACTACTTAGCCTTGACCCCAACCAAGTATCTAAGTCAATTACCACTCTTTCAGCTTTCAATAACGTCTTCAATAAGAAGTTTCTTATTCTTAGCAGTTCTTTGCAGGCTTAACAATTTATGAATGAGATTTACTGAGCACTTGCCATGTGCTCAGAAGCACAGACAGGCGGCTGGACAAAGCCAGGCCGGCAGTTGGCAAGGATTGCCACTTGACCCCATAATATTCGCTGGCTAATAGCTAAAAAGACAAGAGCAGCAACTCGATATTGTGCTTTGGCCATCATGTGGTTCTAAAGGCTAACGTTAAATGATAGTAAATAAACGCTCACACACACACACACATACTCACATTCATACACACACAGGCACACACTCATCTTCACACTTGGTTATTTACGTAAAAAGTGCGGATTTTATGTTGCATTCCCACACACAACGTAGCGTAATTTGCTTTGGCTGGGATCCTTCAGTACGTCTGCAAGTCTTTCGTCTGCGCGTTGACATTACACACACACACACACACAGTCATGCATATAAGTACACTCTCTTTCACTACGTGTGTGTGTGTGTCTGTGTGTGTGTGTGTAGTGTTTGTGTGTGTTGAAGTGACAGTAAGCCACTTAAGACAGCGCGCATTTTATTAGTTCCTTTATTGATATTTTCACAGCAACACAATTATGAGTGGCTGCATGTGTGTGTGAGAGTGTGTGAGAGGGAGTGTGTGTGTGTAAAGAAGGCTTAACTATAGGCTAGATATATATTTAACCCAGCTATGCATTTGCAGTTGCCTTTAACTTGCGACTTCTAAGCAACATATTGCTGCATGTGAAACACATATTGAAAATATCTTTGAAAATGAATTTCCCATGCTAGGGACATTCGGTATTTTATGGCGATTCGGTCAAAATTTGGAGAGTTTTGAGTGGATTTTGACAAGATAATTAAAAGTTAATTAAGCGCAGAATTAGCCAAGAATCAAATTATAATCAAAAAAGTCATTCGGCATGGAAATTGTCTCTGTTTTAGAAAACAAATCTGAAAATTGACTTAGTTTTAGTTTTAATTGTTTGTTCATGCCTGATTTAAATAAGTAATTAATAATAAGTAAAATATTCCGCAAACTTAATCTGAAAAATGAAAAGAATCTGAAAAAGGGCTGCAATGTAAACCCTCAGTAAATAAATTAACCCAAGCATTTGAAAGCGTTTGGTAGCGCCCACATGTCGCATGCATAATAAACGGAAGCCGCAACATTTATATAGATTTTAGTCGGGATTTTGGGGCAAGGGTTTGTGGGCTGCCAGTCAAAGTCTTGGCAATTAGGCACGAGCTGAAAAACAAAACTTCCGACTGGCAAAAGAGATATGGGAGGAATCGGGAGGAGCAGATGCCGTTGCTGCGTTTTGCGTGCTGAGTAGACAGTGAAATTATTATCACTTGGCACCTAGCAAAGACAACAGAGTGCAGCAGAAGGGAGGGGGTGGGCGGGGTAGCGGGTTAGAGAAACCAGACCAGAAACAGGAACAGGAACAGTCGAAGCGTTGCTGCATTTTGTGAGCGCTTTTGCCCCTATGAAAAATAGCTGTAATTTGCACAGCATAAAAATAGGAATATGCAGTACGTTGATGGGATGGAGTGTTAGAGGGAGGGGAGGGGCTGTCGGCGACACACATACATACTACTAACCATAAGTTAACTGAGATCCACACAACCACATGGCCACATGGCTCCATATGCAGGCGACAGCAACTGGATAAGAGGCAGAGCTGGAGCTGGGCTAGGCATTGGTTTGGGTGGTTGGGTGGTTGTGGGTCGGCTGCAAAGCACTTGTGAAAAATAACTTTGCACATCGTTGGATTTGGTGTGCAATTTTCTCGCTCTCTGCATCGTCGCCCCATACACCCTCTCCCACGCCCAGCGTCGTCTCGTTGCCAGCCGCCTCGTTTTGCCACAGCGCTTACTTTTAATTTTGTTTGTAAAGAAAACTCATTTTCATCATTTTGAAGTTGCGACTGCGCTTGTCTTTTGTAAGGCGCTGTTGCAAGAAAAACGAACGAGTGAAATACTGAAACTGCCGCTTCATGTAATTATTTTGATCATTTGCATGGCTGCCACAGACCCTCGCAACATGCAACATGCAACATGCTAACGACTTTGTTCTGCCGCCCCTTAAAAGTAAAAACCAACAACTTGCCTTTAAAGCTGCTCTCAGCAACTCTCCTCTCGCTAACTTTAATACTTTTTCATTGTCCGTAAATTGGCAGGTGTAAAAAGTGCTTCAACAAAATGTTTTCTTTCGCTGACTTCAAATATTTTTCTGAAACACTTCTTCGATATACTCCTGCTGGGATTATCAATATATATTAAAATGTTTGTTTTTATTACCTTCCAATAGCCTTAAAACTTATTTCAAAGATCCTTGAGAGCATTTATATTAAACGTATCACGGGCAAGGCAGGGGACTACCCGCTGTAATCCCATATTGACAGAGGTCGAAATTTCCCACCCCCATAACTCGGTCAAAACTCAACCGATTTTCCCGAGGTTTAGTTTTTTCTTCGTGGTTTGGCCTCAAGAAAAATATGGCATTTAAATCTGGGAACATAATTTTTGGTCGAAATTCATGTAAAATGTTACCCTCTAAAATCGTATATAGACATTGGTCAAAATTTCCCACCCCCATAACTCGGTCAAAACTCAACCGATTTTACCGAGGTTTAGTTTTTTCTTCGTGGTTTGGCCCCAAGAAAAATATGGCATTTAAATCTAGGAACATAATTTTTGGTCGAAATTCATGTAAAATGTTACCCTCTAAAATCCTATTTAGACATTGGTCAAAATTTCCAACCCCCATAACTCGGTCAAAACTCAACCGATTTTCCCGAGGTTTAGTTTTTTCTTCGTGGTTTGGCCCCAAGAAAAATATGGCATTTAAATCTGGGAACATAATTTTTGGTCGAAATTCATGTAAAATGTTACCCTCTAAAATCCTATATAGACATTGGTCAAAACTTCCCGCTTCCATAACTCGGTCAAAACTCAACCGATTTTCACGAGGCTTAGCTTTTTCTTCGTGGTTTGGCCTCAAGAAAAATATGGCATTTAAATCTGGGAACATAATTTTTGGTCGAAATTCATGTAAAATGTTACCCTCTAAAATCCTATATAGACATTGGTCAAAATTTCCCACCCCCATAACTCGGTCAAAACTCAACCGATTTTACCGAGGTTTAGTTTTTTCTTCGTGGTTTGGCCCCAAGAAAAATATGGCATTTAAATCTGGGAACATAATTTTTGTTCGAAATTCATGTAAAATGTTACCCTCTAAAATCCTATATAGACATTGGTCAAAACTTCCCACTTCCATAACTCGGTCAAAACTCAACCGATTTTCCCGAGGTTTAGTTTTTTCTTCGTGGTTTGGCCTCAAGAAAAATATGACACTTAAATCTGGGAACATAATTTTTGGTCGAAATTCGTGTAAAATGTTACCCTCTAAAATCCTATATAGACATTGGTCAAAATTTCCCACCCCCATAACTCGGTCAAAACTCAACCGATTTTCCCGAGGTTTAGTTTTTTCTTCGTGGTTTGGCCTCAAGAAAAATATGGCATTTAAATCTGGGAACATAATTTTTGGTCGAAATTCATGTAAAATGTTACCCTCTAAAATCCTATATAGACATTGGTCAAAACTTCCCACTTCCATAACTCGGTCAAAACTCAACCGATTTTCCCGAGGTTTAGTTTTTTCTTCGTGGTTTGGCCTCAAGAAAAATATGACACTTAAATCTGGGAACATAATTTTTGGTCGAAATTCGTGTAAAATGTTACCCTCTAAAATCCTATATAGACATTGGTCAAAATTTCCCACCCCCATAACTCGGTCAAAACTCAACCGATTTTCCCGAGGTTTAGTTTTTTCTTCGTGGTTTGGCCTCAAGAAAAATATGGCATTTAAATCTGGGAACATAATTTTTGGTCGAAATTCATGTAAAATGTTACCCTCTAAAATCGTATATAGACATTGGTCAAAATTTCCCAGCCCCATAACTCGGTCAAAACTTAACCGATTTTCCCGAGGTTTAGTTTTTTCTTCGTGGTTTGGCCTCAAGAAAAATATGGCATTTAAATCTGGGAACATAATTTTTGGTCGAAATTCGTGTAAAATGTTACCCTCTAAAATCCTATATAGACATTGGTCAAAATTTCCCACCCCCATAACTCGGTCAAAACTCAACCGATTTTCCCGAGGTTTAGTTTTTTCTTCGTGGTTTGGCCTCAAGAAAAATATGGCATTTAAATCTGGGAACATAATTTTTGGTCGAAATTCGTGTAAAATGTTACCCTCTAAAATCCTATATAGACATTGGTCAAAATTTCCCACCCCCATAACTCGGTCAAAACTCAACCGATTTTCCCGAGGTTTAGTTTTTTCTTCGTGGTTTGGCCTCAAGAAAAATATGGCATTTAAATCTGGGAACATAATTTTTGGTCGAAATTCATGTAAAATGTTACCCTCTAAAATCCTATATAGACATTGGTCAAAATTTCCCACCCCCATAACTCGGTCAAAACTCAACCGATTTTACCGAGGTTTAGTTTTTTCTTCGTGGTTTGGCCCCAAGAAAAATATGGCATTTAAATCTG